TGGTGCTGATGGATGAGGTGTTCACGCGGTCCGCTTTCGTTTCGGGCTCAGGCGGGACCTACGTGAAGATGAAGGGCCAGTTCGTGTCTTTGGACATCTCGAAGGCCAGGTTCAAGCAGTCCACCTTCAGCTTCGATGGCGGCCCGACGAGGCTGCGCTTTCTCGTGTGCTGGTTCGTCGTCCCCCGCTCGCGCGGGGCGCGGGGCTTCTGGGGGGCTTGGGCCAGTTCCATGGCCAGCCAGCCCACTGGATGTACCGTCAGTCTTCGGCATGGAAGCGCTTCGCTGGGCAGGTGTTCAAGGCCCCCCCGCGTGGTGGGCGGCCCCCAGACCAAGGCGGGCCCCGACGACGCGTCCTGGGTGAACGTGTGTTTGCCCCGCAAGGCGTGCTCCACTGCTCTCTTGATCTTCTTAGCAGGGCTGCGGTCCAATGCTGGCGCCAGGACTGGTGGCTTCAGGGGCGTCGAGCACAGGAACGCGGCGCACTCCGTGTTCAAGGCGCTGAGGCACGCCGCTGGCGTTGCAACCGAGAAGGGCGTCGTCTTGACCATTGACTTCGAGGGGGATTTGGGTTCCGAGATGGCCGAGGCCTGCGCCGTGCCACGTGGCGTCGGTGGATTTCATTTGCCGGGACATGCTGATCGACTTCGGGCCGCTGCAGCGGCGGATTTCGGATATCGGCTGCCGTGGTTCTTTGCCAGCTCGCTATTTCGAGGCCGTCAAGATGGCGATCGCCCAGGGCGCATCGGCAGCGTTCGCTTCTGTCTTCCAGCACTTGCACGGCGCCAAGAAGGACAAGAGCGCTGCCACGATCCTCTTGTCCCAGCTGACCTTGCAGCTCGCGTGCAAAGTGGAGCAGGGCTTAAGAGCGACGCCCCCCCGATAACGGACACTGGGACTTGACGTGGCAGCCAATGCGGGACGGGTCGACTAGGTATGAGTTGGAACACTTGTTGGTGAGGTACGCAGTGACATCTCGCATGGCTTCGGAAGGCCAGCAGCATTATGTCATTGCCACTGATGCTCATGACGGATGCGGCCTCAAGCTTCACAACACCGTCATCGGCGCGCAGTCCGATGCGTTGATCGTTGCTGCGCCTCAGGCTCGATTGGCGTCAACGCACATGCGCGCGATGGTGGTCTCGACGGGGAGGGGCGATGGCTGCGGCCAAAGGGGCGGGGGTACATTGAGGTTTTGCTTAAGGGCACGGTGTTTGGCGCATCAGGTACGGTGCCAAATTTTCAGGTCCGTGGGGGCGAAAATTTGGCCACTGACGTGAACCCTCCCCGAGAGATTGCTATCGTCGCGGTGCGTTGGCCGATCTTGATCGGATCTTCCAGTTTGAAAACGAGGCTTGGAGACTGAGCACACCAACGCCTAGAAGGACGTGAACATGGGCGCGCCGTCGACTACGCCATGGGTGCCACCGTCGTCACAGAGGCACGCTGCTTTCCTCCAGAGGTGCTCCACCGCTGAGTCGGAACAGAGCTGGCGGCCTAAGGTTCTGCACCGCGTTGCCGCGCGGAGGTGGCTGGATAACGTCGACGACCAGCTGGGGGGCTTCGTCGGCATCGAGGGCCTCGAGCGGTTCGTGAAGAACGATGGCAGGAAGGACGACCGGATCACGTCTTAAACTCACAGCTCGGGTAGCGCCACAGGGTACCTTGGCCACGGGGGGAGCTAGAGCCACCCCACTTGGGACTAGAGCCACCCAACTTGGTTCCAGTAGACGGTCGGGGTTCCTACAGTCACCTCGCTTTGACTTCGTGGTGTGCCCCCCTTTCCCTTCGCGGGTGTGGCACTCTTGGAAAACGTGGCCATCTCTTACGATATGCATGGACGTGGGCGCAGACGGCAACTCCGCGTTCCACGCCTTACTATACAAGTGGGGGGCCAATGTCATCCAGTGGGCTGATGGATTCCCCGGTGCGAACAGGGACTTCAATTTGCTGCTCAACAAGCTCCACCTGAAGAGCTTCTGGGTGCTCATGTGCGGCTTTCGGAATCTACCCCGCGGCAGGCCCGAGCACAACGACGACAGGTACTGGCAGCTCCGCACAGCGATGATGCATCACTTCGAGACTGAGGATCCCATGGCGTCGGTTCTTCCAGGCCTTCCTTCCCAGCCTCAGGCAGGAGCTCACCCGTGCTGGCGTGAACTGCCCTGGGGAGCGGGACGTGGACTCGGAGGTGCAAGGGTCGTGTGTCTTCCCTCGCCCTACCCCCCCTCTCGTTGGATACGAAGTCGTTCCAGCAAACCAAAGCCACATCGTGTGTGGGTCGATCTTTCCGACTCGTCTTGACCAGAGGTTCTGTTTTGTGTGTGTGATTGTTGGTTCCCACGGTAGAAATATGTAAATCGGTTTCCGGGCCCCCCCCCGCTGGGGATCGTTAGGGGTGGTTTCTGTCGTGGGCAGACCCCCCCCCATGGATCATTTTTTTTTTGGGGGGGTTCTGTCCGCCGCAGCTCTGGGACTATTTGAAGGCCCAGTTCCCCTTCAAGCCCATGGGCTCTAGGTGCTCGTTCGGGCGTTTCCTCTCGGTGGTGAAAAAGTCGATGGGTCGACTGCCCGAGTGGTACCAGGACGCCTTCTCCAGGACCTACACCGCGATCGAGTGCGACTTCTTGAGGGGCAAGAGGTTCGGGGCCGAGATTCGCGTGGCGTGGGCGCCAGCTGGGTCCGCTGGCGACCTTGCGCACACCCGCCGATCCGTCATCGACACGATCGACAGGTCCGTTCGCGGCAGCTGCGCTAACGCTGTGAGCCTGAGCGTGTTGATGCTGTCCAACGACCGCAACCGCAGGCTGTGCAGCTGCGTGCTCGCAGCCTGCCAGCCTCTCAAACTGTGGGAGGGGCGCGCCAACGAGATCAACCGATCCGCGGCCGAGTGCAGGGGCTGGGCCATCGACCAGACCACTGGTGGCTTCATGGGACACTTGAATGCGATGTTCACGGCGTTGAGGTCACCAGGCCTCGTTGCCGACGCTGGCTTCGTCACCGACACAGTCAAGCCACTCGCTGGGGAGTTGGAGGTGGTGCTGGCCGTGGAGGCGGAGTTCGCGGACATCGTCGGCAAGGCTGTGAGCTCGCTGGCGGGGTTGCGCGTGCGTAGAGGGCTCTGGTATCTGCGTGGTTGGCCTCAGTCGGCGCGCGCCTTCCTCAAGGGCCAGGCGTGGCAGGATAAGACCATGGCGAGGTTCACGAGGGACGAGGGCAACTTCAAGGAGCTTTCGGCGATGGGCCACGCGGGCGCCTGCGAGAAGAAGGTCAAGGGCCGCCGCCAGTTCAGCGCGACGCCCGTCAAGCAGCTCGTTCGAGCGTTCGAGGGGACAGGCCATCGCGTGACAAGCGACGTGTATAATAATATCGAGGGCATGTTCGGAGGCCCACTTCAGACCCAGCTTATCGAGGCGATAAACGGGGTGCAGAATAACAGGAAGAGGGCGAAACACAGCACCACCTTCAGGAAGCCAGAGGCCTGCTTCGCCGCCGCGCTCGAGAGCAACATCGTTTCCGATAAGCACAGGTTCTTACCAGTGCAGGCGGACATCCCCGTCGGGCAGAGGACCATGAGGTCCCCGAGGGACACGTTCGAGCCGAAGGTCACGGATAGGAGCCTTCCATTCGATGATATCGTCATCACGTCCTCTACAACAGCGTGGCATTCCCCTTGCAGCAACGACAACTGCGTCAAGATCGCCGACCTCCAGATGATCGAAGACGCGAAGGACGCTGCGGGGTTGATCCCAGTCGGCATGCTCCAGAAGGCTTGGCAGGGCGTCTTGCTGGACGCGGCGAGCGATCTCGTGGTGGGCACCAAGAAGCGCGACGACCCCGACATGACGTACTACTTGGCCTTGGCTTCGTTCGAGTCGCCCTCTTGCGCCGCGTGGCCGTTGAAGGCCAGAAGAATTCCAGGATGCGATGCGGAGTGGTTTGGCCTCGCCGAGGACTGCAAGAGCCCGGCCTTAAACGCGACTTTCGACATGACAACCGTGACTGCCTGCAGTATCGAGTGGCTCCCTCCGCTGGACGTGCTCCACAGGTTCCCGAAGGCCAGGGGCTACTTCAAGAACTCCATCGCCGTGCTCCCCATCAGGAAGGGTTCCTGGGGCAAGTTGCCCAAGGTGGCAGCTTGTGCAGCGTTCTGGTCGTTGGGTAGGTCGACGTTGGACCAGATCGCGGAGTTCGTGGGGGCTCCGATCGAGAGAGGGTCGCCGCTCTTCGCGCAGCTCTTCAGCTTGGTGAAACACATCGCGAAGCTCCCAGACGCGGCGGTGTTGCAGATCTAGTGCCAGCGGATGGGGATAATAGACTACGCCAACTTGTTCGGCGAGGAGGTGCTCTGCCTCGACGAGGCGCTGGAGGTCTTGGAGGAGGCAGACTAGAAGCTCGCCCTCCAGCAGCAGAAGGACAACCTCTCCAAGGGCGCGGCCGCGAAGGAGTTCAAGCACTGCTACGTCGAGAAGGCGAAGGCGGTGCACCAGATCGCGGTGGCAGGCAAAAAGCCACCCAAGAAGGCAGCGAAGGCAGAGAAGCGCGACTTCAACAGGATGTACCCTGATGACTTCGACATCGACCAGCCCTCGGCGAAGCGGTGGCTCCCTCCAGGTGCTTCTATTTGGAGGGTCGTTACCACCGGGGGCTGGAAGGGCCACTTGAAGCCTTTCCCCAGGGTGTCGAAGTCGTTCGGGGATGGCGCGACGACTTGCAAGGAGGCGCTCCGCGTGGTGCTCAAGCGGCTGCGGGACCAGTGCCTCGCAGCGACGGGGCTTGCCGCGGAGGAATGCCCGCGCCTCTTCTAGGCAGTTTGTGAGAATAACTCCTCACGGGTGCGCCTCGAGGGGGGCGAGGCGAGTGAAAAAGAGAAAACATCATCGTTAACATCGCCACAATTGGAATCGTCATCATCATCATCATCATCATCATCATCATCATCATCATCATCTCATCGTTCCGTCCCCTCCTCGTCGTCGCCTCTCTCTTCAAATCGCACGCTCCCTTATCTTCCCCCTCCTGGTTATGATTGTCCTCATCTTGGTCCGTTTCCTCATCGTCGTTCCTCCGCCTGTCGCCCCCTTTGCTCGCGGCCTTTCCTCCGTCGACCTTCTCTTATCTTCTCGACCCCCCGCCTTGTATTTCGTATCGATTTCGCATGCGCTCGAGGCGGAAGTCTGCGGGGAGGGGGCGCCTTGTGTCATTTCATTACCACCCCCCCTCATCCCGAGGCCCTTTGGGCTCTCCCGCGTCGGCTCGGGTATGCGATCGGAGCGATCGGCGGGGGTGGGGGGTTGTGCATCCAGGCGACTTGGGGGGAGGAGGGGGGGGGCGGGCGGGAATCGCGCTCCAGCGTTGAGGGGGGCCGGGGGGGGGGGAAGGAGGGGGGGGGAGGAGGGGGGGGGGGGGGGGAGGGGGGGGGGGGGAGGAGGGGGGAAAAGGGGAGGAGGAGGAGGAGGAGGAGGAGGAGGTGTTGATGGCTCAAGGTCCTCCTGGGCAGCGTCTCCTGAGCGAATGTTGGGTCGTTGGTTGGGGGGTGAGATCGAAGTGGAACGGAGAGCCCCCCACCGGGAAATCGGTTTCGGTTTCGTGTTCGTGTAGTGCGCGCGGGCGAGGCGAAGCTGCGCGCGCGGGCGAGAGGAATTCGTTCCGCTGTCGCTGGTGGTTCGCCAACAAATGTTTCCCCCGCCGGCGCGCGTCAAGTGGTGGCCCGCGTTGTCCCGTCGGTTGCCCGCCGTTGTCCTGTCTGTCGCCAGTGGTTCGCCAACATAAATGTTCCCCCCGCTGGCGCGTGTCAAGCGGTGGCCCGCATTGTCCCGTCGGTTGCCCGCCGTTGTCCTGTCTGTCGCTAGTGGTTCGCCAACATAAATGTTTCCCCCGCCGGGGCGTGTCATGCGGTGGCCCGCGTTGTCCCGTTGGTTGCCCGCCATTGTCCTGTCTGTCGCTAGTGGTTCGCCAACGCATGTTTCCCCCGAGGGTGCGTGTCAAGCGGTGGCCCGCATTGTCCCGTCGGTTGCACGCCGTTGTCCTGTCTGTCGCTTGTGGTTCGCCAATATAAATGTTTCCCCCGCCGGCGCGTGTCAAATGGTATCCCGCATTGTCCGGTCGGTCGCCCGCCGTTGCCCAGTCTTTCGCTAGTGGTTCGCAAATATAGATGTTTCCCCCGCCGGCGCGTGTCAAGCGGTAGCCCGCGTTGTCCCGTCGGTCGCCCGCCGTTGTCCTGTCGTGAGATCGATAGTGAGATCGATCGTGAGATCGATCGTGAAATTGATAGTGGCACCGAAAGTGAGATCGATAGTGATACCGAATGTGAGACCGAATGTTGGATCGATAGTGAGATCGAAAGTGAGATCGACAGTGAGGTCGATCGTGGAATTGATAGTGGCACCGAAAGTGAGATCGATTGTGGGATCGAATGTGAGATCGATGGTGGCAACGATAGTGAGATCGGTTGTGAGATCGATTGTGAGATCGATAGTTAGATCGATTGTGAGATCGATTGTGAGACCGATTATGAGATCGATTGAAAGATCGAGCCCGCATTGTCCCGTCGGTGCCCGTCGGTGTCCTGTCGTGAGATCGATAGTGAGATCGATCGTGAGATCGATAGTGAGATCGGTAGTGGCAACGATAGTGAGATCGTTAGTGAGACCGAATGTGAGATCGATTGTGACATCGGTTGTGATATCGATTGAGATCGATAGTGATACCGAATGTGAGATCGATTGTGATATCGATAGTGATATATATATATATATATATATATATATATATATATAT